ATAATGCTATAAATGTGACATATGCTATCATCACTGACATACTGTATGCTGTCAATTTCTAATGTATCCAGAGCAGATGCTGTGGTGATCATGGATGAGGCAAGAGCATGACAGTGACAGACAAGTTTCTGCATTGATTCCATGGGCTATTCTGAAGACCTGCCATTGACCGACTCAAACCAGCACGTTCTCCATGACGGACACTCATCGTTCTCAAGCCTTCAAGAGTTTTTTAGACCACAGCTCTACCTTTATGTTTGGCCAGAAGAAAATGGGTCCCTGAGCGTGGTTTCTTTAAAGTTATTTCCATCAACCAGTGGAGTTTTGTTTCTGTCCACTGTCCCTCTGGCTTGCTTAGTCAGAGCTGGGAGAGTTGCTCTTCTATGGCCTTCCTTTAACAGTGACAGTTGTATTAAACTGAACTGAATCCGTTTTAATTCAACTTTTAATTATAACTACACTACCATTTTACCACTACTCTCATCCCCGCCTGACATGCTGGAATGTTACACAGTTTTAAATATTATGGCTTTTTTCTTCATCTATGTAAACTATTTTTGGAAAATTATTTCCAAATACCACAGAAATCCAAAATTGAAGAGGTTCAGGCCCAATTGCAATTCTATTTTATACCACTTTGCCTTCTCTTTGGCCTTTGAAACAGAGTGTTAAGGGGTATAGGGGTGGAAATATCCCCCTAAGAATTGCTCACATTGTTGTGTCATCACTAGCGTAGGTTGCAAGCTCCATGGAGTGAGCATATTTTAATTAAATTATAAATCATATAAAAGTTGAGTGTAAAGCACTGTGTGAGTGTTGGCGCTAATCTTCAGTATAATGAACTAAAAATCAACAGTAATTTTATACCAGATGTGCTGTAAAAAGCCATTTCACTCCCAGCAGACATTTCTGACAGACCCAGTCATTGGGTTATCAGAATAAAAAAAAAATGCTGAGTAATATTTTGCAGTGGTTATTAAGGGACTATCCTTAGTGAAATTTTAGAAGATTTTTTTCTTTTTGAAGATAACGCATTAACATCATTATGAATGTAATAAAGCAGCTGCTTTGTAGTAAAAATTCTTATTAATGCACATTTATATTACTTTTGTGGGTTGCTTTGCTCGGTTTTTACATCCATGTTGCTGGTGTAGTCAGAGAAAACTCTCATACCTCTTCATTCTTCCATATTGTGGTCTTGAAAAAATCTTCATTTGAAGGGCTATGTGTCCCTTCCCTTTACCTCTACACCACCAAGCTAATAAAGAGAATTGGGACACTGGACCTCTTTATGTGAATGCACGAACCTTAGCCTTTCTAAGGTGTAGAATTGGGATTGGGCCTTTATCAAAGGCTCCACTAGAAGGATATGGTGAGATTTGATGTTTGTTATGCACTTGTTTGTTGAAGCACAGTACATTTTGTACAGTACATGTGCAGACTTTGCACATTCATGGACTTTCTGCAATATTATAGCATTTTAAAAGATCTGTTCTTAAATTGTCATGTTTTGTACTAAAGGACATTTTCTGCAATATTTTGTACTATTTTTAATAGACTACAATATATTTTTTAATGATTCTGTAAAACATTTAAACCCTCCTGAGCTTTTAATAAAAACAGTTTGAATTGTTTATTGTGTGTATTTGACTTTTATTGAAGTTGCATTTAACATATATTTAGTGAGAAAACTAATATTTATGGTATATTGGGTGTGTGTTTTAAATGCACTCATAATTAATTTCTAATGTACTTGTAATACATAAAAAATACACTTTAATATCACTAAGCAAGCATGGAATTAGCATACATGTTATGCTTATTTAAAGTGTACTAAATATACTTAAAGTTGTTCCAATTTAGCACACAAAAGTACACTAAATACACTTAAAATTGTACTTTAGTGCAATTTTATTACAACTAAAATAAACTTAGCACAAAATTAATGTTCAAAATGTCACACTTTAAGTTAACTTATCATTAATGCACTTAAAATATACTGACAATTAGTCCGGATCCAAGTATACTAAGCATATTTATTTTTCACTAGGGTTTACAGCATAGTAAAACTTTGTGCTTAAACAAATCAACACAAAATCAAACATATCTCAAAATTATCATGTGTTGTTGATGTTTTTTTTTTTTGTATTTTTTTTTTTTTTGTATTAACATACAATGACAACAATTAAGGTGAATTTAAGAACAGTATTGAAGAGTCAAAAAGTCCAAGTAAAGGAAATACTGTTCTCACAATGGTGACATCTAACAAAAGTATTGTCAATACAAATATATTGATTCAATTAATTGCAAATAGATTAGACTGAAACATTAAAATTATGTTTGATCCACAATGCACTACATACTGTGCTTATAAAACACATTGCAAGCATTCCAAGATTATTTGATTTTAATAAATGTGTTTTGAAGTGCTGTTCAGTCAACAACAACAAAAAGTGATTTGTGATTCTTCTTCAAATTCCTTATTAAAAATTTGCTTTTCTTGCTGGAAAAATTCAATAAACTAAAATAAATAAAAAATAAATTGTTTGTTTTGTTGACTAACAATAATTGAGCTTAACTAACATAATACATTAAGACTAAACCAAGAATATTACACTGATTCAATTAATCAACATTGGATAGATTATATGTAATTAACTTGTTCACTGAAATAAACATTATTAATTAAAATCTACCTAAGTTACGTGGAACCTGTAGACATAAGAAAGTTAAGTAATGCCAACATTCAATGTTGTAAACTCTTTTAATTTTAATACGCAAAGGAGGAGAGGAGGGGTTACTTTATTTTATTCTGGTTTACAAGTTATTAAAATAAATGATTATTACAATGCATTGAACTGGAAAAAGTAATAGGTATGTGTTTTATGGTTCTCCCAGCATTCACTGTGGCAAGAAATTTGTTCCAATCATTGAGACTCATACCCTGAATCTTGATGTCTGTGTGTTTTGTATGTTTCAGGGGTTTAATGTGTTTTCAAAACCTGATCTATAATATGCAGAATAACATGAGTAGCTCAATGAAATCTTTGTAACCTTATCATCACAATAAAAAATTAAACCCCTTATACAGTCAGTGAATTGAAACTACTAAATATGATGAACCTATCAGTTTGCTTTTAGTCTGAGGTGCCATAATGCTGCAGAGCTTCAGCAAAAACAAAATTAACATAATAAATGAAGAGATTCAAAGAGACCAAGTAAAGCACCCTCTCTTCACCATATTGGTGACTTCTGAAAATGTATTTTTAATCAATTATAACCTTTTGGTCTCAACAAATGTAAATGTAGACTTGGGTAGACGTCTGAAATAAAGTCAAACAAGGTCAAAATTTGTCAAGTTGCTGATGATGTTAATAGAGTTGTTTAATGATCCTCTGCTGAGATTTTAGAGATTTGCTGTGTTTTATTTTAGTTGATTCAATCATAATTCAGTGACGTTCTGCTATCCGTGTAAGGAACTGAGAATCCTTGTAACACATTTATTTACTTAAATGTGTGTTGTTTCAAGAAAGCAGCATTCATTTGTGTTGTGTTTTATTTTCATTTGTTATTATTATTTATTTTTTTCATTTAATTATGATCATTAGAAATTAATTCATTCATTTTCTTTTTGGCTTAGTCCTTTTATTAATCTGGGGTCGCAACAGTGGAATGAACCACCAACTTATCCAGCATATGTTTTACGCAGCGGATGCCCTTCCAGCTTCAACCCATACACACTCATTTACATACACTACGGACAATTTAGCTCAACCAATTTACCTGTACCACAAGTTTTTGGACTTGTGAGGGAAACCGGAGCACTCGGAGGAAACCCGGGGTACATGGGGAGGACATGCAAACTCCACACAGAAATATCAACTGACCCACCTTGGGCTCGAATCAGCGACCGTCTTGCTGTGAGGCAATTGTGCTCTTCAGTGTGCCACTGTGTTGCCCCATTAGTCATTTAAATAATTATCATTATATAATTTTATTGATTATTAGTTAGGGTTAATGATTTGATTATTATTATTATTATTGATTATTGCCATTTTATTATATTTTTACATTGTAATATTATTATTTTTTTATAATTATTGCTTTATTATTATTTCCATTTTTCCATATTGTTATAATCTTATGACTGGGAATTCAAGCGACACTTGATTTCATGAGTAAGAGATACTGTAAGAGAATGTCTCCATTTTAATGTCTGTTTTGTCTCCAATGAGACCCATGAGATTTATATGTATCGATAGATTTATGTAGAAAGTAAGAAAAATGTAACCCATGTACAAGAAAATGTTGGGAAATGAGAGAAAATCTTAAAAAAAAAACGAAACCCTTTTAAGTTTGTAAAGAAATGTTTATTAATAACTAAAATGTACAAATTTAAAAAAAAAATGTCTCAATATGTTGCATGCTTTGTGGATGTTTTTCCTGTAAGTAACAGGGGTATTAGTAAAATCATTAAATTATGCAATCACACTGGAAACTGCGCATGATTAAGAAAACTGCCAGTAGGGGGCAGCAAAGAGCCATGAATAAATGCTTGCACTTCATAAGTATTCTCTTCTACGCAAAGGAAACATTTTTAACCATTTATGCAGAATGAGCTCAGACTTAAATCAAAACTTTAAATAGTTTTAGAATCGTATATAAACTGGCATGAAAGCATTTAGTGAAAACCTTTTTACATTATCATTCCCTTTTCATATCCACATTTGAGCTCAAGCTAAAATATATACTACAAATAATCTCTGTAAAGCATGTTATTTTATCACAATCAATATTATATAGAGATTCTCAAATAAAAGTCATGTAGTATGCTTGATGTTGTTTTTCATTTTTCATTATAAATGTATTTTTTAAAAGTAAAAAAATAATCAAAAATCATTTTAAGGTGAATGTATAAAAAAATCTGTTATGAAGAATGCAGCAGTTGTCAAATCAGGTCTTCTTTCAGTAGTCATCAGGTAACATTAGACTCACTGCTGTCAGTTTGGTACCAGGATTCTCCCTGATCAAGTAAAAAAAATAATTATTATTGACAAGTTAAATTAACATAGTTCAGTTAGATTGTTCCTGTGTGTTTGAGTATGATGACAGCCAAACTGTAGTCCTGGTTATATATAAATATAAGTTAATTTGATTTAAACTGTCTGTCTAGACTGACCTGTTGATTTCTTCTTGTAGTAAATGAGTCCAGCAATCGCTATGATGATTCCCAGCACCAGACCAGATGCTCCGATGGCAAATTTATTCCTGTCAGACTCAGAGATATGGGGATCTGTGGTAAAAGGAAATAATAATCTGTTAGTAAATTCAACAATTTTATTTACATTTAAAAGTGTTTTAGCCATGCAAGTGTGACAACAAAATATGTACTGTGTTTTCTATTTAAACAAAAAAGTCAAGAAGGAAAGACAAAATGGAAATGAAGTAATGTTCCCTCTTACTCCAATCTTTAGTAAGAGGTTGAGTTAAGCTGGCGTGCTCCACCAAACATTGGATCTTCTCTCCAGATTTAGGGGTGTATTCCAGGTGAGAATGAATCTGATAGTACCAGTCTCCATCAGCCATCTCCATAGTGGAGGTCACATCTGAGGTCACCTCTTTACCATCTCTCAGCCAGGACATTTTGATTTTTTTAGGGTAGAATTCATATGCACTGCACAGCAACACAGCTGGATGTCTGCCTTCAGCCTGCCTCACTGACTTGATTGTTACCTCTGGTAGTACTAAACAAGAAAGAAAAATACTCGATAGCTTACAGTATTCTTATGTTACACACATATTTATAAATGCATGAGTGGTACATGTACAGTACAGGTATTAATTAAACTGAATGACCGTGTGAAAAATCTTTCATAATTATACAGAGCACACTTCCCTAAGCATTTATTGTAATATATGATGCCATTGTATTTTTGTATTAAAAACCATGATAGGTCACTGATGACAGCCTCATTGTTCAGACACAACACGACCACAGCCGCAGATCTCTGTTTTATACATTTTGAGTGTTTAATCTGAGCACATGGACATGCAGGTTAAAACATCTTTATTAAAGAGTAAAGATGAGATGAGTCTGTGAGCTCACCTGCTTTATCACGTACAGCTGAGTCCCAGATCTGAGCATTATGTCTGCAGAATGTGTCCACTTGAGCTTTCAATTGATGCAAGTAGGCCTGGTCTTTGTTGAAGTTCTCTGCAAATATCAGTCCCTGTTCAGTGTACCCCACAAACTTCCCCACAGAGCTGTTGAACTGAGTATCCACAACTTTATTGAAGGAATATGAAGCAAGATACACCATATCACTGTAATCACTGGTGCTGTAGAAGCATTGCTGCTTGATATAGTCGTAATATCCATCAGCTAAAAAAGAAAATAGAGTTAGCACTCGAGATGTTGTCAAAATTCATGACAGTCATAAAAATATATCTGTATTCATCTTCATTTTACCATTATTCTGCTAGTAGCTTCTCTTTAGTCCTGTGCTACTGTTATCTCATCCTGTTCACATTACTTACTAGAATATCTATATTTTAAATAAATAAATCATTGATAAATTACAGGTTTATATTTGCTCAGTATTTGCTTTACTTGCCTGTTCCAGTAAATGTCGACAGCATCAGTATGACAAGAAAAGGTTTTAACAGATACATTTTGAGTCTTTGAATGTGTCAAATGAAGAACTTTCCCTCAGTGTCTTCTTCTTGTGGTGGATTTCTAAATAATCTGACCAATCAGCTTACTCCCACATAAGTGTTGCTAGGTCAAAAACTGCTTTCATTTTTCTGTTTTCACAAGACAATTACTGTGAGTGCATTAACACATGTATAACCATAGCGGTTGTGTACACTACACAAAAAATGATAAAATGTAAGAATATTTATTAGTTGTGTCTGTTTTCTAAATTAAGAACATGTGTTTATATTAGATTAGTTTAGTTATATTTTTTATAGAAACAGATGAAACTGTTTATAGTTGTGACAGTTTGCTATATATTTATTTGGTAACATTTTTGTAAATTACAATTTTTTATTTTATTTAACTAAAGTCTTGAAATGTAATTTAATTTTTTAACATCAATATATTGAAATAATGTCAATATATTTATTTGCAAAAAAAAAGATTTTAAAATTTATTTTATTTTATTATTTCATTTTAGTTAAGCCTAATTTATAATTTTATTGTATTTTATATTTTATTTTATTAACGTTTAGTGTGTTATTTTATTTAACTTTAATTTGATATATTACTTTATTGTTTTGTTTTATTTGATTTGATTTTACTTTATTTTGCTTTGGTTTTTGTTTTAATTTATTATTTTTTATTTTATTCAGTCAATATATTTTATTCAGTATTGTTTGAGTATTCTATTAGTTTTATTCTATTATTTCAATTTATTTTAGTTTACTTTAGTTTATTATTTTATTACATACATTTTATTTTATTAATTGTATTAACGTTTGGTATATTATTTTAGTTTACTTTATTATTTTACTTTATTTTAATGACTGATTTTATTTTACTTTATTTTGCTTTGATTTTAGTTTGATTTTATTTTACTTATTGTTTTATTTTATTTAGTCAATATATTGTTGTTCAATATATATTTAATTATTGTATATATTTTATTATTGTATTTTATGTTAGTTTATTTTAAATTAATTTATTGTTTTACTTTATTTTGATGTCTTATTTTATTTTTCTTTATTGTTTTATTCATATTATTAGTTATTTTTATTTTATTAATTTAATATTTTATTCAGTCAATATATTTATTATATATAATTTATTCATTTATTAATAATATAATTTCTTTTTGTATTTTAGTTTAGTTAAGGCTATTATTTTATTTAATTATTTTAATTGTTGGCTTTGCTTTGTTTTATGTTATTTTTTTTAATTTCTTATTATTTATTTGTTTATAACTTATTATTTATGTCTGTATAATATTTTCGTTAATTCTTCAAATGTTTTGTTTTGTTTTATTTTAGTTATAAAAATGTATAAAAATTTTGTTTTTTAATAAATATTTTGTCAGTCAATATATGTTTATTCATTTTTTTATTTTTTTATTTTATGATATGGTTTTCTTTTAGCTTATTTTCTTTTATTATTTTATTTTAGATTATTTTATAATATTAATTTTATTTAAGCTTATTTTATTTTAATTATTGTTTATTTTAATTTAATATTTTTATCATTTTATTTTAGTTTACTGTTATTATTATTATTTTTTTTTTATTATTTATATGTTTTTTGTTTGTTTTATTATTTATGTCTGTGTGGTATTTTTTTTAAATTTCCAAAAGTATTGTTTTGTTTAGTTTTATTTTAGTTTATCTTAAAAATTTATAAAAAAAACGATTTTTAATAAATATTTTGTCAATCTTTATGTTTATTTAATATTTTTTATTATTTAGTTTTATTATTTAATTTGAATTTTTTTATTTCTTTATTTTATTAAGTTTAGTTTATTGTTTATTTTATTTTAATTTAATTATATATTTTATTTTAGTGCATCATTTTAGTTTATTATTTTATTTTTATTTTATTTTATTTTTTTAATTTTTTTTATTTTATTTTGTTTGTTTTATTTTAGTTTAGTTTAAAATTTAATTTAAAAAAAAATATTTTTGTCAAGCAATATATCCATTCATTAATTTTCCTTCGGCTTAGTCCCTATATTTCAGAACCTCCAACTATTCCAGCATATGTTTTATGCGGTGGATGCCCTTCCAGCCGTAACCCTGTTCTGGGAAACATCTATACACTCGTACATACACTAAGTTTGATTTAGCTCATTCAATTCACTTTTAGCACATGTTTGAACTGTGGGGGAAACCGGAGCACCCAGAGGAAATCAATGCAAACATGAGGAGAACATGCAACTCCACGCAGAAATGCCAACAGGCTCAGCCAGGTGAGCGACAGTGCTAACCACTGAGCCATTTTTTTTCTATTAGTTTATTATTTTATTTGAGATTATTTTTAATTTATTTTATTTGTGTTCATTATTTCCTTTTATGTAATTAATTTATTTTATTTCACAGTAAATATAAGTGACCAATGTAAAAAAAAAATGTCAGTATATATGTGGAATAATCTTTAACTAAATATTTAACTATATTTAGGTTTATTTTATAGAAACAGATGAAACTGTTAATTGTAACACTGTTTGCAAAATATTTAGGTCATATTTTTGTCAGTTCTTCTAACTAAAAATACTGTTTAATTTAATTCTATTTATTTTAGTTTAATTAAGTTTACCAAAGCCTTGAAATATATCTTTTTTTTATTGAATACAAATGATTTAATACAAATCATATTTGTTTGTAACACACTCAATTTAAATTATGCTAAACAGATGTCGTTAATAATAATAAATATGTTCATATTTCAAATAATCATGTCTACTCATTGCTTAAAGATTTGTTTGTAACAATTTTCACTGCCCACACAGCTGACATTGTGATTGTGATATGTAAAAAGTTTTTAATGACTAAAAAGCAGACACAATAGTTTCAATTTAATTATTTATTTCTAAAGGTTTGATTATTCAGTATCAAACAACTGTGCAAAAAAAAAAAGACTGAATAAAAGATCTTAAAGTACCACTATTTAAAGTTGCATTATAAAACCACACTCGCATTACCTGATTTAAAATTCAATGAAAATGCATAAATGATCAAAGCATGAAAAAATTACAATTAAATTAAGCTTTGCAATTAAGTTTAAATTTAGCATAAATTTCAAGACCCTTTTGTCTTTGCTTATCATAAGATAAAACCAGAACACAAAATAACGTGTAGAATTGTCACAAGTCACAAAAATAAGACATATCCGGAAACAAAAATGATTTAATGGAACAATTAAATAGTGCATATATGTGTGTTTATGTGACTGTTTACTTCAGAGGACAAGTGGATTTACTGGCAAAAAATATCAACAAAAGTTTTGTGAATATATTTTATGTGTCTTTTAGTTAAGGCAAATAACTGAAAATTTTTTTTTTACAGGATCAAGTTTATGGAGAAGAAAATATAATTCATCTAACCTAAAAGCTATGGAATCTAAATGTCCTGAGAAGGATATAGTCCCAAACCTGTATGAATGCCTAATAATTTGTATGGTAACTTTGATCATCAAAACTTTCGATTATTATTGTCACACACACACACACACACACACACACACACACACACACACACACACACACACACACACACACACACACTGTCTTTTTCCTTATACCACCATATTGGATTGTTTAAAAATTATATCCTTTATATTTAAATGAAGGGCGAAGCAGTGGTACAGTAGGTAGTGCTGTCGCCTCACAGCAAGAAGGTCGCTGGGTCGCTGGTTCGAGCCTCAGCTCAGTTGGCGTTTCTGTGAAGAGTTTGCATGTTCTTCCTGCGTTCGTGTTGGTTTCCTCCAGGTACTCCGGTTTTCCCCACAGTCCAAAGACATGCGGTACAGGTGAATTGGGTAGGCTAAATTGTCCGTAGTGTATGAATGTGTGTGTGGATGTTTCCCATGGGTTGTGGCTGGAAGGGCATCCGCTGCGTAAAAACTTGCTGGATGAGTTGTGGGTTCATTTCGCTGTGGTGACCCTTGATTAATAAAGGGACTAAGCCGACAAGAAAATGAATGAATGAATATTTAAATGAAAAAGAACTTGTATCCCACCAAATATGGTGTGACACACATTTTGTTTTTAGAGACAAAACACAATTTTACAGACATTGAGGAAAGATGCTGTTAAATAGCAGTACACAGAATCAGAATCACAGAGTAAGATTGTGTTCATTTGTAAATCAGAGCTGTTAGTTGCAGTTGTTTCCTTTAATGAGGAAGAAAGTTCCAGCAGCGACTCCTAACAGCCCCAGAACCAGACCCACTCCACAGAACACTGCTGGACCAACACTGGGCAGCTCAACGTCCACCTCTATAGGAAACATACAAGAACATGATAAAGGAAATGTTACAGATGTTAAAACAGTCTCTATAGGAGACAGAAGAGGAAGAGCATGAGACATAAGTATTAACTGCAAAGAAAGTGCAGAGTTTATTGAATAATTTGAGTTGCTTATGTTTCAATGTTTATTCTTCATCTGACCAACAAAAATCTAACAATAAAAAAAACTAAATTACTGCTTTACAACATTGAGACATTGTTAAAAACTAGACAAAACAAGAATCCCCTTTTCTGTGAGTCTAAAATAATAAAACACAAACACATCCTTTACAAAAGGACAAATGCTTAAAAACAATACACTAATAAATTATTACATTGTTTAAAAATATACTATATGACTAATAATTATTAATGATTATATCATTTAATGGAATAATTGAATGAATAGATGAAATAATAATTAAGAATATAAGAGAAAAAAATACACCACAAAATAATGGATGGACACACACACACACACACACACACACACACACACACATACACATACACACACAGATTTTGTGTGTGAGGATCCTCAAATCCTTTGTTAGATTCTATATGCTTTATTTGATTTTCCCGGTAAAATTACATGAAAATATTACTGATTAACAACACAATGGAAATATTATCAGTTTTTATGTCTTTCATCTTTTTTTTCAGATTTTTCCAAGATAAAACAATTTTATCATGTCTAATGAATCTTGCCAAACAATTTCTCTTGATACCTTATATGGTAAACTAAACACTTTAAAGATGTCTTCTTTGTTCTTAAGTGATTCACAATATTATTAAAATAAAGTTTTGTCTCACCCCATGTTTTGGTGTTGGTTTGCCCTTGAATGGATCTGTGTTTCACTGTGCAGCTGTAAATGTCTCCTTCAGCAGGTGTGAACTTCAGAGCAGAGAACATGTTGAAGGTGCCATCACTGTTTTCGCGGTATTGGCTAAAACTAATTTCCTCTAACACAATATCATTGTTTTTCGTCCAGGAGACATTGACAGGTGGAGGAAAGAATCCAGTCACATGACAGATGAGTGTGTTCTTTTTATCCAGCACCACCTCATCTTTTGAATAAATGGATGTCACAGGAGGGTCTGTAATACAGAAATAAACTATGCTTTACATTCAGGACTTATGTGTTTGTCTTGGACTACAAGATATATCCTGCCGCTTAGATTAAAATCTTGATTAAATTAAGTTAAATGTATTTTCAATTTATCAGGTGAGATTATTTTTTATCTAATATATTCAAAGTGTGAATATACAGTATAAGCAATGTGTATATGTTACCTAGTTGCTCTTGTGGGGAGTTGTATGCCCTAATGTCTGTGGCTAAATTTTGTTTGCAGACCTCCATTTGAGCAACACCAGCCTCATAAAATCCAGGAAAGCTGAGAGGATCTGCAAAGTCAGGTGCTGTTGCTACTCCTTCTTTTCTAATGAAGTCTAAATGGAACAGCTCCTCTCCATCAAATCCAAACAAAAACTCTTTCTCCATATCAGAACATCCAACAAACCCAAAATCCTTGTGCTCAGCTGAAACAGATCAAAAGTCAATGTATTAATTAAAATGGATAAAATGAAGAACTACAATTAACACGTAATCAGTATAGGTATGATATTTACAAACAACTTCAAATTACATAATAAGAGTCAACGTTAGAGTTCTTTTTATGTGTAAAGTCAGAAATATACATCTAAAATAAAATATACATGTACAAGAGTAAAAGTCATTTAATAAAAATACATTTTAATAGCTTACTTAGACTTTATAAAGCAGATGTAATTTTACTCAGCAAATGTTCAGTCTTACCTTGAGCCCCATTACTCACAATTACAGTGAATATCAGAAGAAAACCAAACAGATCCATAGTTTACTCAGAGGAGACTGAAGCAAACACCATATCAAATAAACTGTACTGGAGTGAAAAATAGAATCTCTGATCTTTGGTCATGTAGAATCACAGCATCCAATCAGAAACTGAGCTCCAATGTGGCATCACTGTATCTAGGTAAAATGATCTTCTTTATAAGACTTGTGTGCACTCAAAACCCAAACTGTTGACTTTACTAGAAACCTGTGTGGAAGCTCATGGCATAATATTAAATAGTTTGTACACAAGGTGAAACTAAAACTCCAGTTGAATAAACAGCTTCACTTATTACTAATTCATTTGACTTTATTTCTGTCAGACATCTACCCAAGTCCTTGTTCACATTTATTGAGAACTAAAAGTTTACATTTTTATTTTAGACGTCACCACTGTAATGAAGAGTAGTTGCTTTACTTAAAAATTTAAAAAAGTGGTATTGCTTAGTGTTGGCATTGCTTTATTCTTTTGTCAACAGGTTCCTCAAAGCAGAGGAAAATTGCATTTAAGTAACAATGTTTATTTAAATAAATTTAAGTTCATTACATGAAACTTATGCAATGTTGAGTTGTTAAGTCAATATAAAAAACATGTTTTAAGTTACTGTAATTAGGCTGAATTACTCCTAAATGTATGCACAAAAAAGTTGGTGTAGTTTATGACTTTCATGTTTGCTTTCCTTTTGAACCACTAAGATCAAATCACTTTCTTCACTGCTAGTGTTTCCAATAAAGTCACCAACATTGTAAGCATGAGCTGCTCTTCTGCACACTGGTAACCGCAAAATATAAATCTAAAAAAAATTAAATTTTCTAAATCTCCAAACTGACCATTAAACTCTAACAAGTCTTTCTTTTAAAACAGCTAAAATGACCTACCATACTTATAAAATAATAAGCAAAGCACCCTGGAAACTACATATCTTCAAAGAAATTAAACATATTGATCCAAAGAATTTTGCTGTTTCATTTTAAATAACTCATTAAATAACTACATTAAATAACTACATTTTTTATTCAGCTTTTTAGTTATACAGTTATACAACTCAGAGAAACATCATCAAATAAAACACATAGCATAGAAATGTTTTTAATAAATAAATGAGGAGATACAAAATAAACCAATGAAAAACAATTTTATTAAATTAAAAGAGTTGCCTTAATATTAAATGTTAAATATTAAATATATTTTTCCACTGTTAACATTACAGAACAGCATCAAAAAATAAAACACATAGCATATATATTTAAAAAATAAATAAATAAATTATAGCATGTATGTTTTTTAAATAAATTAATAAATACATAAATAATACAAACAAGTAAATAAATACATAAAAAAGAGAAGACACAAAATAAAACAATAAACTTTTAACAAATTTGTTGAGTTGTGTTAATATCAAACATTGACATTACTACTATTACTTTTTTTTATATTTTATTGATTTTTTTATGTAACTACACAGAACAACATCATAAAATAAAATCACACATAGCATATACTTAAATAATAAATAAAACAAAAATCATAGCACCTAAAAATAAAACAAACAATACAAAAACAAAATAAAAAATTGCTTGTAATAACTAACATTTTAACTAAAAACACACAGACGTCAACAATTAGTCTTTGAATCTCAACAATGGTGACAATCAAAAAATTTAAATAAAATAAACATCAACCCAGAACAATACAAAACAATACTGAAATTTTACACCCCAAAAACAACATAAAATAAAAGTAAAGAAAGAAATTGTGTGTGTGTGTGTGTGTGTGTGTGTGTGTGTGTGTGTGTGTGTGTGTGTGTGTGTGTGTGCGTGTGTGCGTGCGTGTGTATATGTGTGTGAGTGTGCGTGTGTGCATGCGTGTGTTTGTGTGTGTTGCAATGTAAGCTGGGAGTTTTCCACTATGTTGGCACCCAACATGCATTGCGGCATGAATGAATTATACAGTTTTTATTTTATTTTGTTTTATTCTTTTGCAAACATGGTTGAGATTCATATCCTGATCCTTGATGCCTGTGTGTCTCAAATGTTAAGCATGTTTCTGGTAATCTCAAGGTTTTGGGCATGAAACTCTAATTATTAATTATAAATTATCATTAATCCCTTAATGATCATTTATTGACTGTCCATGGAAAACAGTCGTATAGCCCAGACAACCCACAACAAATAAGTACTTCTTTTTTTTTTTTATCACTAACCTTAATACCAGAAGTTCTTGTCATAACTGATGAGCTTCAGAAACACAGTTATAACAACAGGCAAGGTAAAGGATCTAGCCCAACTAAAGCAGCCTCTGATCTCCACGATGGTAAGGTCAATGTTCAATAAAAAAAATCTTTTCAGATTTATGAAGAAAATATTCACAATATTTTCCCACAAAACTGGAGTTGTTTATTCATACAGATTTTGATGTATATAAATGTAGGCCACTTTAGGCAGTTATGCGGCACTGGTGGTCTTCCTTCGGCCCAGACAAAATGAATGTGAGCCTGAAGTGGCCCACCTGTACAGTGGCAAAGGGGGGCCAAAGAATCAAATTCATATATGGGCCATTTAAGGCAATGATTTGGCACTTATGGCAAAATGTAATCTGAATGTGAGCCTAATGTGACCCATGTGAAAAATGGTAAATTTTGCCCAAATGATGGAGGACAAATGAGGGCCACAGTTGGCAAAAATGTGGAATAGTCATTTAAGGGTAATCTAGCTCTTAACTTAAAGTGGCTTACATGTGTAAGTGCAAATATGGCCCAGTTATCTTAAGACATATGTGTGCCACTTGTGGCAAATATTTGGTACAGTAAATCTGGCTATTGCAGATGTAAGCCTTATGTGGCCAAGAAAAAAATATAGAAAATGTTGCTCAGTTATCTTAAAACAAATGTGGGCCACTTTGGCAAATATTTGACACAGTAAACTCTGGTTAATGCAGCCGTTAGCCTATAGTGTCCCAGTGAAGATATAGAAAATGTGGCCGAGTTATCTCAAAACATATGTGGGCCACTTTTGAATAAACATTCGGCACAGTAAACTCTGACTAGTGTGGATTTGAGCCTATGGTGGCCCCTAAAAGATATAGCAAATGTGACCCAGATATCCTAAAACAAATGTGGGCCACTTTTGGCAAATATTTGGCACAGTTAGCTCTGGCTAATGTGGCTGTGAGCCTAAAGCGGCCCAGAGAAGCAATGGCAAATTTGGCCCAGTTATGTTAAAACATGTGGACCACATACAGACTAAAGTCACCATCATGGAGAAAGTGTTTGCTTTAGTTAGGCTCATAGCTCTGAACCCCTCACTATAAATCTTATTTTGGGCTGTTGTAATTCTCAAGAACTTTGCTTGAAAAGTTTATTCATTACGATGGACAAGCCTAAAACAAACAAACACAAAAAAATTATGAAATCGAGTGAGGCACAACCTGAGATGAAATAATATAATTCACTGATGTTAACCAATGTTTAATTCATTATTAGAAGTAATGTAATAACACGCTTGCACATGCCACAGAATTATGAAAGTATATAAGCTGAAAAAAATATATATGGTTCAACTTCTGCTCACGGAGACATCAATAATCAGCGTATGAACCTCAACAACGATGACATTTAACAAAATGAACAATCACAAACAGGAGACTAAAAGTGACAAAATCAACAACGTCAACATAAAAAGCAGAATCAATAGCAATAATGAAAACTGGAGCATCAATAAGCTATAGAATTTATTCATACAGCAATCCATGCTGGGATTTTTGTACTTTGCCACACCCAACAAGTTGTAAGGTGTAGGCCCGATCTGGGCCAGAATTAAAGCAAACTGTGACCCAGAATAGGGTCAGTTCTGGTTCATTTGGTTGAATTCTGGCTGATATGTGATGTTGCTATGGCTTAATTGTGGCCCAGATCTGGCAAACAGGAGCGGACCGCCCAAATGCCATCATTCCAGATGTGGTCCAGATATAAGTGTTTGGCGTAGGATTTTGACAAATTTGTGATTTGAGTCACATGAATTTTGCTAGCTGGGCTTAAACATGGATTCATTTTCCATCCACAACCCGTCTCTGGGAAACATCCACACACATACACTCATACACTATGGACAATTTAGCCTACCCAATTCACCTGTACCACATGTCTTTGGACTCTGGGGGAAACCAGAGCACCCGGAGGAAACCCACGTGAATGCAGGAAGAACATGCAAATTGAGCTGAGGATCAAACCAGTGACCCAGCACCCTTCTTGCTGCGTTGCCCACATAATATACTCATAGCAGGGGCTGGGATAGAACCCGGGTCTCTGGCGTGAAAGGGGAATCATGTTACCACTGAGCTACTGGAAGCTGATGGGCTTAAACACAAATATATCTATGAACTAAGCTAAGCGTGCTTTGCTGTCTGCCTGCCTCCCTGCCTGTGTGTGTGTGTGTGTGTGTGTGTGTCATCTGCGGTGTGCGTGTGTGTGTGTGTGTGTGTGTGTGTGTGTGTGTGTGTGTGTGTGTGTGTGTGTGTGTGTGTGTGTGTGTGTGCGCGCGTTAACTTTGTAACGATATTGTGTGTGACTCATCAATGCAACTTCGCAATACTGATTAGTAAAGGTTAGTTCTTACTGTAGTATCACACAAACGCTATGTGAGACCTTCTTCCTTTAAGTCTGTCTGTTGTCTGACGCAGCTGAGGGAGGAGGCATGTAGAAATAGTGGGCGGGAAAGACTCGTCTTAAAGGCACAGTACGACAAAACCACCCCCTGCTGGAAATCAGTATAAAACAGCATCTTGTAAAAGGTATAATGAAAAATCTGATGGGTATTTTAATCAGAAACTTTATATACACATTCTAGAGACGCAAAAGACTTATATTAAATCTGAAAAAAGGGGTAACCTAGGTGCCCTTTAATCCAAATTGGGAAAACTGGCACATGAGGCACATTTCATTGCATTCTTACCTTTACTGTTTATTTCTGAAAGAAATGATTGCATTTGATAAGGGAAACCATCATTAATTTCTGCAGGATTGCAGGTTTCTGTTCCTTTCATTTCAGTGGTCAAACC